GAGTAAGCATGACGTTTGCATTGAATTTCACATAGCCTCGTTTTCCCAAAAGGGTATTCTTATTCAGGATGTACTGCGGTTTCGACCTCGCCTCGATCTTATCAAGACCCTCAGCGGAACTCGAAGCATGACAATGCACCACTTTGTCACATTGTCACGAGTGCCCTTAGGTCACGGGCCAGATGTGAATTCCAAGGAAGGCCAGGCACTTTCCCATATCACCACTCTGTGGTGAGATTGTCGACGAAGTAAACTTATGTTTGCTGTAGCAATCAACAACATTACTTAAATTTCATTTTCGATTAGGTTGTCGAGACTGCCAGTAAATCAGATATTTACTTCACATCTGTCTCATGACTTACGTGTCCAGGTTATATGCTGCACTGCCATGCTTCGAGTCCCGCTGGGGATTCTAATAAAAACTGGACAAAGTTGAAACTGCAGTCCAACCTAGATGGGTATAGCTTTTTAAAATTCAATGAAGACGTCATGTCTACTCATACCATTGTGGAAAAATTTGCTGTCATTCCTTCATCAGCTTAAACGAGATGGGGCACACAGCTCATATAAATTTTTGCCTGAATGATCAAATTTAATTTCGTAATTATCACTTATTTTTTCTTATTATTAATAATAATTACGAATAATTGTGGAATTAATATCATATAGTGGAATTAATAGAACGTGTGCATGTAAGTGTTATTTACCAACACATTTGTAAGAGCCTGGTTATAAGTCTGATTATATAAATTGAATAGAGTTGGGAGGGTTGAACTATGTTTTATCTCACAACGCAGCATCTCATATTGAACTGACCTCTTTTGTAATAAAAGTAAAAGAGCATGTTGGTATGCTTATTGACTATCTTATATAAGTCAATTTTTAAAGCGACAAATAAAATTCAAGCGATGAAGTGGTTATACCTAAATAAAGATCATTTCATGTTTCTAACTGAAACCATAAAGTAATGTTTCTTCTCTTCATACATAACTACATTTTAGTTGTTCTACATCATTTATTGCCTTAATTATTAATAGGGAAGTGCTTCAGTTAACTACAGATATTGGTGTCCCTGGACCAGTTTCTGATCTTCACAAAATCAGCGTCGGAATAAACGACGTTGACATCAAATGGACACCCCCAAGTCAATCAAATGGACCTATTATCTCGTATGAAGCAAGTGCAGCTGAAAGTAAGTATTGGGGTATAATAATTATACATAGCATATTGTAACATATTCCTTCCTTTAGTGCTGTTCCTTATTGACTTTATGCACAACTTACGAAAAATCCACTATCACATCTTAAGACTTTAACTTCAAAGAATTCGCAGACGACAGCCTATTTATTGAAATAAGTCTAAATTTAAAGAGATGAATAGTTTCTTATTTATGGACAAATTCAGTATATTTGCCGATATTTTAAGGTTATTAGATGCTTAGTAGATACGAATTTATACACATAACGTTCTGACTCGACAAAAATGTACATTGAAGGCCTATCTTTAGTTAGCAAGTGAAGGATTGAGAGAGCAAGTGAGTGGTTTAGATATTGAAGATATTCAAGTATTTATTATTCATCGTAGATATGAAGACGAGGATGGAGTTGCCTTTTGTTTGGTTGAAAAGTGTTGGTTTGAATTCATTTTTGTAACTTTTACCGAAAAACAGGGAGACCTTGGGGAATGTACTTAGTTCTGCCTCTTATTCAATGAAGATTTCCAGAATCGGACCGTCGACTTAGCAATTCCCAGCCGTTTCGCCAGCATCGCAGTCGGTATGGTTAGCACATAGTTACAGCTTATCAAAGTGAAAGGTGAAGGCAATTTTCTATTCAACCGTTGTCGTATCACCCCTAGCCCGCATTTCTTATCCTACCTTCTAGTGTTGCAACCCCACTTCATATCATCTATTAACCTATTAACACCATTCTCTGCTCTCGTCTCCTACAATACGGTCTAAGAGTGTCGCTTCAAATAGATTTAGTGAAGCATAATCAACTTAACTAAGTCGCACTCTATTCGCATGGAAATGAAAGATTAGATGATTTCATGATATTTCCAAACAAAATTAATGAAAAGTTAAATTTACAATGGGTATAGATAGGGAGTTCATTCGCTCAGAGGACACTCTCTAGAAACGGCTGTTCCGAAATAAATCAGCAATACTGCTTAACTTCCGCTCTAACCATACTTATGGAATGAAGATAGGAATACTTAGAAGTCTGCTTATAAGAAGCCTACGACTCATCGATTCCGAGTTCTGGGAAGAGGAACTAGAAAAACTGTCTCAGATGTTTCTTGGAAACTAATATCCAAAAGAGGCAATACAAAGCAGCATACAGATCGCGATTAGCAGATGAAGAGACGAGGATTATGAAAGTTTAGCAAGGGAACGGAGGAAAAACGATGTATAATTCAACCCTCCTGCGATGTTTCCTAAGCTGCGTCCGATACTATTGAAATGGAACATTTGTGCGATCCTGAAGGATAGGAAAGATCTCATCACTAGCTTGCCCACAAAACATGAAAAAGTCAACAAGATGGAGAGCTCCGGAGTTTACAGCATAAATTTCATGTATTGTAAGCAAAATTTCATTGAAGCGACTGGAAGGGCATAGGTGACCATTCAGAAAAATGGATATAGTAAGATCGGAGATACTCGAAGATCGGCCACAAAAGTTACGGGAGTACAACGGAAAGACTGGCCTCATATGGTGCGAACACCACAAAAAGGAAGATTATGGGGGCCGTGGAAATCCTCTTTCAGAGAAACCGAATGAACAGGGCATTGAAAAAGGGAGGAAATAGTGAGAATTTTGCGTACTGTTTGGAGGAACTCGGAGATTCAGTGAGGATAGCCAAAAAGACGCTTGGACCAATGACATCCATTCAGCAAGAAGAATAGACATCGTCAAGAAAAGAATTATGAAGGACTAATGCAAGTCAATAAAAGTCGATTGCATTGAAAGCAATCAAACCTGGAGTCAACTTGATCCGACCCAATTTGGATCTACATGTGTGACAGGAAATGAATGTCCAGAAACATGCAAATCGTATACAGTTAGATGCACTAGCCTAAAGGTTTAGATCCATTTCAAAGTATGTAACTAGAGTTTCGAGACTACCAGTAAATCAGTAATATGAGATGTATTCACCCAATTTCGTTTAAGGTGATGAAGGTCTGGTATTAGAATTTTCCCACAATCATATAAGTAGAGCTGACGTTTCCAGTGAATTTCACATTGCCTTGCTTTCCCAAAAGTTGTTCTTATCCCGAATGGAGTAGACTGCAGTTTCGACGCCTCGCGGGAGTCGAACCGTGACAGCAGAATGGGAACTTGACACGTTAACCATTCGTCCACATTGCCACGAGTGCCATTCGGTAACATAAAATATGTGAATTTTAAGGAAGGCCAGACATTTTGCCATGTCGCATTCTTTTGTGGGATTTTCGATGAAGCTGATTTGCTGGTAATTTAAAAACTCTACTTACATACGAATCATAAGTAACGTTGTTTGATTGTTATAGCAAATAAACATTTGCTTCATCGACAATCTGACCAAAGAAAGTGATATAGCAAAAAGCCTGGCCTGCTTTGAAAGTAACATCTACCCTGTGACCCAAGGGCACTCGTGGCAATGCGGCCGAGTTTTTAACGTGTCAAGCTCCCATTCGGCACTGTCATGGTTCGACTCCCACTGGGAGTGTGGATAAGGCCAAGACGAGGTTGAAACTGCAGGCCACATTCAGCCGGGATGAGAACAACTTTTGGGAAGGCAAGGCAATGTGAAATTCAATAGAAATGTCAGCACTACTCATATCATTGTGGGAAAATTCTACTTCCAGTCCTTCATCACCTTAAACGAACTTGGTTGGATACATCTCGTTTCAAAGTAATCAGGATGTGAAAAGCGAATTTAACAACACAAAATTAGACTGTCCCCAGTGTATGTATGCATGCATGTATGTATTGAGTGTGATTGGTGACATGTTTGGCTATGGAGATAGCCAATCAACGTACACATGCACAATAGACTACAACCATAGGATAAGGTGGCATTTTCAATTTGAAGGTCAAGAGTAGAGAAGGAAAGCCATCCTTCCTCATTTCAGTGGTTCCGAATCAAGCCAAACACAGGACCCCACATAATGAGAGATAATGGGGTGGGGCCGAGATTGGGGACAATTGGGGTATGGCCCTGAAGCCTAAGAAAAAAAGGATGCTCAGGTTTGTGAATAATCAGCCTTTAAACAGTCTAATCTGATGTAAACTTAGACCGGAATCTAAGCCTCATAAGCAGCAAGATCGTAATTTTCATGTGTAGTAGGGAACAATCACCAAGTACGGTAGAAAAGTGGGGCTAAGTGAAATAGGAAGCTCTGCGAACGTAGCTGAAACCTTTGTTGAATGTGATTATATTTCACTAAATCCACTAGTAGAGAACGAGAACACAGAATCGTGTGAATAGGTTATTTGGTCATATAAAGTTGAGTTGAAGAAAAGAGATGC